TTTCTTTATAAGTTATTAAATATTTGGATCAATCTTAGATAATTGAGTGAGTTTTAACTTCTATTTTTAGATTAAACTAAAAAACATTTAAATTTTTACACATGCAAGAAATTACATAAGAAACTTACTAAAAATTAGATTTCATACACACTATTTGGTAATCCATGTTACATCTATGACATGTGATATCTTCTGGTGATGTTGATCTATCCCAGTGTATACGATTTTGATTCTCCTTATTGTAAGTCCCAAATATTCGTCTTTTAATGAGAATTGTGGCAGTTGGAGTCAAGGATTTGAATTTTTCCTTGCAATATTTCAGTTTGTAGAAATGATTAGGTAGTTTTACAAATTTCATTAGAATTTGTATACCTCTGTTGTCATGTAAAGTAAGCAAAGCAATGGCAATGTGATATATTGCTTGCATATTATATTTTTGGCAAATTGCAATCAGTATTTTTAATCCCATATGTGTATCATGTTCGATGAAGAACAAATGTGTTCCAAGCAGTAGCAAAGCTTGTTTATTTTTTGCTTCTGCAAGTGTCTTCAGAATTGAAAGTCCCCGTTGTTGTTATTGTTGGCAGTTTGTGTTGTTGTTTCGAAATGTCCCTTCTTTGTAATATTTGTTTTATGTTTGCTTGTTTGTTCAGAGATTTGCCCCTGTAAATTGTACGGTAAATAATGGTTTCGAAGCACAAGATTCGTAATAATTAAAAAAAAAATCTATAGGTGGGAATCACAATACCATTACATGTATGATTAAACAATTAAGAATAAATAAGTGTGTCAAATATGACTCAGTTAAATATGGATTCTAAAACGCATTTTGGTTTTTGTGCATTAGAAAACTATTAACAACTAAAGATGCACATGGTTCCGCACAATCATTTGTATGGTTAACCATTATCGTTATAAGACTCCTGCGGAACAAACCACTATCCTATTGTTATTAGTTGTATGTTTAACCATTTTTGTATAATATCATTTTCTGTATGACTAAGAAAATAATGAAATCAATAGATTAATGAAATACGATGGTTTTAGTAAAACTTATGTTAACCTTATTGCTTGTAAAGTAGTGTCATCTTTGTCGGTTGCTTTTACAATGATTAGTTGTATAATTTCTAATGGTAATTGTAACAGATGTTTTGGTGCTGTTTTTTGGGTGTAAGTATATGGAAATTATGTTGTCAATATGGTATCTGTGGTTTATATAGTTTATGTGTGGGTAGTGAATAGGTTTTTTTTTTTTTTTTTTTTTTTTTTTTTTTTTTTTATTTCAACTTCCTAGATAATGTTCTGTTAATTATTAATGAGAGTCAGTATTGTTATCTGAATCTGGTTTTTAATAGTTTTGTAAATTAATGATGATTGTATTAATCATTTCATGTTAAGTATTAATTAAATTTAAATGTAAACGGTCCGCCTTCATCTAAATTTCTATATAGGTATATTAAGTATTTGATACATTTGATTAGTACGAATTTTTTTAAACTAGTGGGAAACGGATTGTGTTTCATCAAAAATAAATATCTGTTTTTATGAATTCCATTAATATTGTATAAAAATCTGCATAATTAGTATCATTTATTTGATCAACACTTTAACAAAAGTAGTACATTAAGAACTTCATTAAATATCATAGTACCAAATATCATCAAAATATCGAATACATCAATTAAAAAGTAAGTACATTAACCCATAACTAAACTAAATTCTAATATCCTGATTTTTAATAGTAATGTCACATTAAAAATATTACATAATAGTACAATGCACCGATCAACAATAAATAAACATAGTGATTTAATAATAATGATATCTTATTGGCATAGTTTTAAAGGAAACGGTAATAAATATTTTGTTAAATATTCAAGTCAAAGATTTTGTGATGATGTGATAATATATTAATTAATATAAAATATTTATACGGTTCAGTATTGGTCTTGTTTAATTGTTTATGTTTTATTGAGTATCTTAGTTTTTTAATTAAAATTTTTTGTTGATTCACATCAAAACATATTTAGATTTGTTTTGTTTAATTAGGAATACAAAAGAAACAGATGGAATATGAATAAAGATGTTATAATAAATAAACATGGTTGTTTAAGAAGAATAAAATCTTACTGGCACAAGTTTAATAGAAAGGATAATAAGAATAGATTGGAAAATGTGGTAAAAATGTATATGCATGAAAATATGACATCGAATATCGATTGTATGATTATACCATATAATATTCAAGTAGTCTTCTCAACTCGCATGAGTGATTTAATAATATCTGTCTACAATTGATATTAATAATTATAGAGGTAGAATTATTAATTTTATCTTAACATCTGGTCAATGACTTTCTCTAAATTTGTCTTGTATCACTTTAATATTATGATTTTTTTTTTTTTTTTTTTTTTTTTTTTTTTTTTTTTTTTTTTTTGAGAATACAAAAGGTGCTTTGGAAAAACGAATAGATGTCCTCATCAGAATAAACACGTTGATTGAAAAAATGTGAATAACTTTTTGGATAAGAGGATACGAAACGGTAGCAAACTGTTTGCACAACATCCAAAAAAAAGCATAATAAATATTTTGTTAAGTATTCAAGTCAAAAACGTCATAATGATATTATAATATATTGGTAGGATAGTGAAAAATGGTTCGGCAACTGTGCTCCAAATGAACGTTATCGTTCGGCGTGGGATTTGATTTGGTTGGTAATAGAATGGAAGTTTTTTTCGATGTGCGATAGGAATGCTTATTTATAGATTTTGTTAATTTATATTATAATATATTTAAATTGATGTTTGTCAAACATGTGTAGCCAATCCAATGAGTTTTAACTTCCATTTTCAAAATAAATTAAAAATCACTTAAATTTTTACATGTGTAATAAATCATATAAGGAACTTACTCAAAATTATATTTCATACATATTATCTAGTAATCTACGTTACATCTTCGACACGTGATATTTTCTGGCGATGTTGATCTGTCCCAATGTATACAATTTTGATTCTCTTTGTCGCAAGTTCGAAATATTCTCCTTTTAATGAGAATTGTCACAGTTGGAGTCATGGACTTGAATACTTCCATACAATTTTTTAGTTTGTGGAATTGATTGGTTAGTTTCACTAATTTCATTATAATTTTTATACCTCTACTGTCGTGCCTAGTGATTAGAGCAACGACGACTTGATACATTGTTTGCTGGTCATTTTGTTTGCAAGCTGCAATGAGTAGTTGTAATCCTCTATTTCTATCATGTTCCACAAAGAACAAATGTGTTTCAAGCAGTAGTGAAGCATGCTTATTTTCTGCTTCTGCAAGGATCTTCAGAATTGAAAGCCCTGACGTTGTTATTGTTGGTAGTTTGTGTCATTGTTTGAAGATGTTTCTTCTATGTAAGACTTCCTTTACATTTGTTTGTTTGTTTAGAGATTTGCATCTGGAAATTGTAAGGTAAATAATAGTTTTCAAACACAAGATCCACAACAATAAAAAAAGAAGAAGTGTAAATAGTGGTTTCAACAGTTGGTAATCATAATATCATTACCTGTATGATCAAGAAATTAACAATAAAAAATAAATATGGTTCAATTTAATATTGATTCTAATATGTATTTTGGTTTTTATGTATTAGAAAACTGTTAAGAACTAAAGACACGAGTGATTCGGCATAATCCGTTTCAATTGTTGGAAGTCGAAATATGATTTTCTGTATGATTAAAAAAACAATTAAATCAACAGATTAACGAAATATGATGATATTAGTAAAACTTACGTTAACTGTATTGCTTGAAGAGTGGTGTTGTTATTCTGAGTTGCTTTTACAATGATTCGTTGCACAATTTGTGACGGTAATTGTAATAGATTTGTGGGTTATGTTTTTGTTCTTTTGTAAAGAATCATGATGTTTTTGAGGCGTTTTTTGTGCGTGTAAGTATATGGATATTATGATATTACAGTCTTAGTGGTTTATATAATTTTTGTGTGGATACTGGATAGTGAACAATTTTCTGTGTGTTTTGATTTGGTAGATAATATCGTGTTAATTATTAATAAGAGTCAGTATTGTTATTTGAATATCATTTTTAGCATTTTTGTAAATTAATGATGGTATTTTTATTTTGTTAAACATTAATTATTTGATTTTGTTATATATATTAGATATCGTTGTTTCATTGTTCTTTCTATCGAGAAAAATTGATTATTCTATTCAACGAATATAAACTTTTTTGGTCTTAATCATTTAATGTTAAGTATTAATTTATCTTAAATGTAAACGGTTTGCATTCATCTATATCTCTATGTAGGTATATTAAGTATTTGATACATTCAATTAGTACGAACTTTTTAAATTCATATAAATTATGTATTGAGTGATATTTTATGCATTCTACATGGATTATGTGGATATCTTATGCAGGTGTGCTAATGCTTTGAAACTTTTATGAGATAATTGGGCAACTAGTGAAATGGAAGAGGGTGTCTCTACTATAAGATGGAGGACCTGGACACTGACATATTTGTGAAAATCTTCCTATCTTTTGATGTCTTGTAGTTGACTTCAGGGATTGCTCACGTTTATAATTCATGGCGTTCAACTTGCTGTGATCCTCTGCTTTGGAAAACTCTTGATTTTCAGTGTTGAGATCAAATTTCATCAAAATCCCATTACAGCCATATGTTTACATGGATGAGTGTTCAGATAAGATATTGACTCATTTGTTGAAGATTTCGTTGAGTCTCAGCCGGGGATACATAAGAACCTTGATTTTTCAGTTCAATTTGTATGTAGGGGACGAACAATTTACTTACATTGCTAAAAGGTAGTATTTTTATGTTTCTGTTTAAAACCTTGCTGAAAGGTAATTTTTTTTATTCTCGCTGTCTATTGACTGAGTCTTTGGCATTGCCTTTGATACCAGTGATTATCATCTTTAATTTTCTTTTTTGCACAGTGAATTGGGAAGTAATCCACCATATATTGTTGTCTACAGGTGCCCCAGCTGAGGCGACTTGTTATGCTAGCTTGGAATAGAATAAAGAAGGATGTAATTTGCATGGCCATTTGTACATGGAGATGTCTTGAATCCCTGACAATGCCTAGTATAGCAAATCCCCCTTATCTTATAGAGGAAATAGCCCTAAATTTCAAGAACTTCAGTGAACTCAAGGTCATGGGTCCTTTTGACGCTCTCTTTGCTTCTACGATAGCCAAATTTCTTCCAAATTTGAAGGTTTTAAGCTTAAGATGCTTAATGATAGTTAAGGATGCCCTAATGCTTATATTGGATGATCTACCAAACTTGGAAGTCCTCAACATATCACATTGCCTTCTTATAGAAGTCCACTACTTCCTCCCCAATGCTCGAAAAAATTATTAAGAAGCTAGATAAAATTATCTTGTAGAAGGCTGCTCGATTACATGAGTTCTTAACATGTACTGAGCACTCGTGCATCATGTGCCAGTGTACCCGAAGTGATGAAGGCTTTCTCAGGTGGTACAAGTATGAGGAAGGCCTTTGGAAAATGGATGAGGCGAGGTCTCTTGCTCTTTTATTAGAACACTGCAGAGATTGTAATTTAGTGGTCAGAAACTACAACCTATGTACCTTTTCTTTACATTTTGTTTTGCTTGTATGTAATATCTACATAATATGTTGTTGAATAAGCATATATAGAATTGGTCCGTTGTGTTTTAGGTTGTCATCCTCCTAAAGCTTTCGTTTTTGGTCGTCAACATTGTAACACTTGCATGGTGATCTTCTCCCATGGGAAAAGTATTATTTGTTTGCATGATTATATACATATGGTAAAATTTCACTTTTTGTTGCTTCAAGCTGATCTTTTGTTGTCAATTAATGTTATTTCAAAATGAAATGGTTTCAAAGTAATACGCAATTGAGAGTTTTATCCGTCATTTACGTCATTACAATTAAATTATAAGGATTTCTCTATTTTCAATATATTATACTTATATATTTACATTTTTTCCACCTTGAATTGGAAATACTGTTTCCAATTCATGTTATTTTATGCATGGAATTATTATTGCTTATATTATTGAATTTGAAATTCTATTGATTTTGTAATCGTTAGTCTAAATTCATTTCTATTATCAGATTAAGTATTTGATAGTGAGATTTTGAAGGAATCTTTAATTTTTCCTTCTTTTATACTTTTATGTTAAGTTTGTATATGTTGAAATGGCAATATAATAGTGACATTGTTCGACGAAAATGGTAATATTATAGTTTTACAGTGCGCTGTCGTTTTGGCTTTGTAAAATTCGTAAGTGATGAAAAATGTTGTCGTATAAAATGTTGTTGATATTTAAAGTAAATATGCGGATTAAATGTTCAGTATTTTACTTGAAGTAAATTTTGGGATTTAGGGTTTTCTATGTCAGTTTCGACATTAATGGTATTTGTCCCAGTCTGCTTGTCACGTTTTCCACATCCGTCGTTTCTCGTTGACTGGAGTTGAGATAAGTAAAGTAAATTTTCTTTAGTTGCAGTGACAATGTCGTTTTTTATTTTACATTGGTCTAATTAATTTGTCATCGATGTTAACTTTGATTAAAGTACACGTTATTCTACGGAGTTCTGAGATTCGTTATTAAAGTTATAAGAAGTTGTTGTTAGATGGTTGTGCTGATAATTTGTTGTGCTCAGGTTGTTTATTTGTTTCTCTGGTAGTCATGTTGTAGATTATTTTCTCGGTAAATTTACTCCTAAAATTGGTGTCTCTCTTATTACGATTTTGTTTATCCTGCTCAGGTTGTTTATTTGTTGTTCTGGTAGTCCTGTTGCACATTATTTTCTCAATAAATCTACTACTAAAATTGGTGTTTTTCTCATTATGATTTTGTTTATTATCTTGTTGTATTTAGTATATATTGTAATATTGTCATTGTTTTATGAATTGATGTTATGAAATGCCACTGGTATAAATGCTTCAGAAGTTACCATCATTGTTATCATCTAATTATCTATTTATTTTTCAGAACACTTGCCAAGGTTTTGGTGTTCTTTGTAGTAGGTATGAGATATTGTTGTTTAATGACAATTGTAGCAGTTGGAATCATATATGGTGAGTATATTTATAGCAATTTGATATAGTGCTTGCATATTATTCTGATTTCAAATCACAATCACCAGTTGTAATTTTGTGTCTCTATCACGTATTACGAAGAATAAATGTCTCCCAAGTAATAACAAAGTCTTACAATTTCTATTAAGTTGATCGATTGTGTGTTTTCTTTATTTTTTTTATTTGATGATATTTTTTTTTATTGTAGTAGTGGCTCCAAAAAACTTGATGAAATTTATTCGAAGACTTAATTGATTCTGAAGTACCGTACAAAGGAGGATCAAGCAGTGATTCTAGGTCAAAATTGTTAAAGCCTTTACAAACTCCTGTTTTACCTGCATTAGCCTCCAATTCTGTGAAACCTGATTTTGGTTCCTACCATGTTAAATTGATTGAAGAAGAAGATAATTAGTTAGAAGAAATTCCATTACGTAAATTGGTGAAACGACAGAAAACTTGTCAGCAAGAGGGTTCAAATACGAATTCTGAACGAAAATGGAAAAATCTTTCTAAAGAAGATCCAGACAGCAAAACATTTAGCCTAAGGAAATAGGTGATGTTGTTTCACTTTATCATGTGAATATATACTGTATTTGGCACGAAGACATTAACGTGGTTTCATTGTTTTTGAAATAGGCTTATGAAGGTTTGTTAGAAATTAGAGAACGTTGGCTTGTTTCAGAAGATGTGATCTTAGCTTTGAAAAAAGAAAATGAAGATGTGATTTCCGAGGTTCACAGATTGGAAGAACAGTTGAAATTATCAAATGAGGCATTTGAAAAGGTCAAAACCTAATTGAAACACTGTCAAGAAGCATTTAGAAATGCTTGACAATCTTTTGCAAATGAGTGGTAGCAAAAGGAAGTCTTTAAAAATAAAAGTAATGAATTGTCTAAAGAAAATAATAACATCAAATCTTAAATTGCAGAAGCTGAGAAAGATAAAGAAGAGGCTTATGATTTGGTGTCAGAAATGTTTTTGGCCACCAGAAAAGCTTGTGTCAAAGAATTTAAGGATAGATTCCCAAATGAAGATTCTAGTCTTTTAGAGACAATTGTGTTGAAAAATGAGAAGATGCCACCTAATAGAGATTAGATTGACTGTAATGTTGTTGTACCTTTCTCTGGTCCACTTAATGCCACTTCTGTAAATATTTAAACCGTTTGTCTATAATACTAATGTTAAATATGTTGACAATATTTGCCACGCAAGTGTTTATAGTTGTGTTATTATTACAGACGTGGATGTATTTAGTTGATGCTAATTTTTGTGTATGTGAAAAAAAATCCAGCCTATGTAATGTTACTTCTGTAAATATTTAAACTGTTTAATTGCAATATTAATGTTAAATATCTTGACGATGTTTGTTGCACAAGAGTTTGTGGTTGAGTTGCGTATGTAAAAAATATGTATTTATAAAACATAATACATATAATGTAGCATTCATTGTATCTGACAATAATAATATAAAACATATAAATATCTTTGTATCAAGGAATTTATGTTTCTGTATTTATTTAAACATTTAATGTGACCTTTTCATATTCATATAATTATCTTTAATTTTTCACATTAGCCTTTCATAAACAATGTCTTATGAGTTATATTATATGCAATGTATCAATCCTTTCTGTTATAAACAATGATTTATATTACATACAACATATCAATCCCTTCAGTTAAACACTTCTTTGAAAACAATATTTGTTAATGTCTCCGCTGGTTCATCTTGTTCCAAGGCTAGCAGAATCTTGATACCTTGTCTTGAAGTTACTCTTGATAGTGCGACGTATAATTGACCATGTGTAAAGACCTGATGTTTCATATACAATCCTACTGTTTTGAGTGATTGACCTTGACTTTTGTTTATCGTCATACAGAAGCTAACTGTCACAAGTAATTGCCTTCTCTTCAACCTGAAAAGCCACTTTATATCTGAATTCGACATTATTATTCTATGAATGTAACAATATCACCAATATTTGACACGGTCATAATCATTGCTAGTATGAACCACTTTCCTAAATGGGTTATAATCAATCTAGTTCCATTCCAAAGACCATCAGATTGATTCAAATTACGCAGCAACATAATTGGAATGCCAATTTTCAGCTGCAATTCATGTTTGGGCATGCCGGAGCACATAAAAGAATTAAGAAATTCGGTTGGATAGAGAATGTCATCATCGTTTGAGATACCTATTGCTTTCAAGTGCTGTCTAAGTTGAAATACGTCTTTCCATCTATTGTAGACTCTGGGTGATATAGTCATTCAATCTATGTACTATCTCATTTTTGGGTGTCAATATTGCTGGCTCTCTCTCTCTCTCTCTCTCTCATATAGTCAATATTATTTATCTAAGCAGATAAATCTGGAAAAACAAGATTCATAATTGTTTCTTCGTGACTGGTATGTTGATCGATTTTCAAGTCTTCAGGTTTTTTGATGTAACTCTCATCTTCTGCAACGTCCTTTCATTTTCCAATATCAAGTATGTCAAAAGTCTTCAAGTTATCCAATTCTATTGGGTTTACCAAGTTTGTCTTCAACCTCATGTTTTCTGAAAGTCTTAACATTGTTACATTTTTCCAAGGGGAAGATGATGATAAATAGGCCTGTGTTATGTCATGTTTTTTCCCTTTTGGTATAACTGGTAGAATCTGTCTGAAATCACCACCCAGGGAAACAATGAGGCCTCCAAATATTCTATCTGCATTTAATTGATCTTTTTCAGATAAAATAACTTTCAGAGTTATGTCAAGAGCTTCAAAGCAATACTTATTTGCCATGGGTGCTTTATCCCAAATGATCAAAGTTGTTTGCTCAAGTAGTTTTGCCGATTGTCCCATTTTTGATATCACGTGTACTTTCCTTAGTGCTATCTAAAGGAATTCGAAAACGTGAATGTGTTGTTCTTCCACTGGATAGAAGCAATGCAACAATTCCTGATGTAGCTATAGCCAATACAATTTTACCCTCGGATCTTAATTTGGCCATGATTGTTGACCATAGGAAGGTTTTACCTGTTCTACCATGTTCGTAAACAAAAAATGGTGTTCCACTATGATTGTTGACCGAATCAAGGATTGAATCGAATATGCGTCTTTGGCCATTGTTGAGACCCTTGTATAAATCACTGTGCACTATTTTGATGTTGTCAATATCATAATCTAATTCCTCAACAACTAATCTATTATGTGAATTCTCAAAAATGGAACAGTTTGGAATTGACATTCCAGGGAAATCAGCCAAGGATTTTCCTCCCTTTTTCATCAGGTCTTCAATCTCGAACAATGCATGATTCTGAATCTGTTCCTTAGTGCATTTCAATTATGTCATCTGCATTTTCTATTTAAGAATGTGGGGAATATCTTCAGACAGGCGTTTTGCATTTGCTCACCACAAGTCTCTTGGACTCACCACTTCATTATATATAAGAATAGTTACAAAGAGTTGTCTTAACTGTCTTTCGGTAGCCCACGTTGATGCTTCATCCAAGCAATCATTCCACTCTTTATCATCATCCAACAATCCTAGTGTATAACATGCATCTTTGAATGTACTAAATATTTCTCTGTTGATAGTTCAAATATTTTCAAATGATGTTGCTCCCTTTACTAAGTTCAGAAGCATTTGCAAATAATATTTCTCACCACTACCTAGAAATGCAAAATACACCCTACCAATACACCTTTATTTTTGTCGTGGGGACTATTGTCTTTTTATATCCTTCCAAACCCATTTGCTTGGAAAATCAGGATATGTCAATGATCTTGCGGAATGGTATCGTTGATTACACTTCATCCCTTTAGTCAATTTCGTTTGCGTAACAACCTTGCTTTCCAAAAGTTTAACCAAACACTTATTTGGATCGAAAATAATTGTTTGTTCATTCTCTAAGTGGAATGACAATCTTTCAACAGTCGGTTCTCTATAATACATGTCAAACTGAAATATCCTCCAGCAAGCTTCCATAGAAGAGATATATCTATAATGTTTTTGATTGAATTAATTAATATTATATTTATAACAAACATCAACAAACAATATAAAAACATTATATTTTATGTATTTTGTACATACCTGCAGTCCAGATATGCCTTTATTTCATCTTTCTCCTGTAAAATGTCGCATTGATTGTTCTATTGACCATTGTTTTCAATTTCCATAGAAACTCTCATTCTGTCCAGCCCTGAATAGATACTTGATTGATCTATATTGATTACATATTTCAATATTTATGTGAGCATCAAACTTAACCAAAAGATTCATATTATAAGGAACAACAAAATGGTTATCCAATTTGATGCCTTTTTTCTCAACAAATGTTCCATTATTCTATCTTCTATACATTGGGTATCTGTTGTCATCCACAGATGTTTGATTGACAAATTTCTTTGGAAAATGTTTTTTACATTTTCCTCTCTCCATACATGGTGAATTTTTATTAACATCGTTGCACGGACCGTGGATCATGTGATTTTCGACAATTGCAAAGGCAACAGGATCAGTTTCCTTATTTGCTATTTAAGCAGAAACTATTTCATCTATTTTGGATGCCAAGGATTCTTATATTCGGGATGTAGAAAAACCAATATACAAGCATGTGGGAGGCCTCTCTTTTGGAACTTGATAGTGCAGAAAACTGACAAAAAAATTATAACGTGTTCAGCAATAGTTGGTATAATGTAATTTCATATCATAAATTATCAATGAACCACAATTTTTAAAGAAAGTAGAAATATTATTCATTGGATTACTTACTTGCCACTGTTTCACCAAAATATTTTTTTTTTTTTTTTTTATCTCTCGCATTAGCTCAAGCAATTTGATCTCAAAAACTCTGCAAACTACAGTTACTCCACCTTCTTGATCACATTGTCCAATACAATTCTATAGATATTGTATCTCTAGCCACTTGGGATCACAGGTGAACGTTAGAAAAATATCTGGATATCCAAAACATTTGCAAATCACCATTGCATCTTGATAATTCTGAACACGATATCGGGGACTACCAGTGTGAGATGAAGGGAGCAACGTAGATTTTCCTAGATGTTGTGCATTAACATCATCTTTTGAAATTGCATCCATCAATCTGCTATACAAATCACTCCTCAATTTTTTCTGATGTTTCTAACCCAACGAAATATTTCCTCTTCAACAGCCAAATATGCATCCACAATATATTGCTACAATAATCTACCTGATCTCATCAGAGTATGCCCTTCATGTAATCTATACTGCAATCGAAATGCGTAATATTCTCTCATGCTTAGCTTGTTTCTCTTTGAAGATTTTTTGTCAGACAACTCTCTATGGTTAATGTCAATTATGTATCCATCTTCTCTATATGGGAATAATGTTGGATAACTTTATGCCATAAAGCTTGGATGCAAGTCATAAATTCTTTGAAGACCCTTTTTTGAATGATGAACAATTGCATCTTTTCCAGTTTTTGAAATTCTTATATCACCAACAATTAAACCCACAATTTCAGATGCAGTTGGCAAATTGTACTGTCTTCCATCTTTTTCCGTTTTCCTTTTTAACTGCAAATGCATTTTTCTAATATCATTCCAATGCATATGGTTCCTGACAAAACGAAAACTTTTAACCAATTCATTGTTCGTATCAAACATCAATTGCAATTCCTGCACTAATTCCCTGTCAACAGTACCATCGGCTGTATTACCTTGTATAGAATTTAATCTATGACTGGTTTCATACTATGTGTCATAAATATAAAGCTGCACAAACTGAGGTTTCCTTCTTTCAGGTGGAAGTAACGATCCTATTCGGTGGTAATTCTGTCTGCAAAGTTTGAAAATATATGGACCACCCCCTTGGTTAATCTTGTGGTCAACATGCCCTCCCATCAATGTAAATGAGAACAATGAATTGTATATTCTTATTTTGCTTCTGAAACTAATCCCCTTATTACCACTACCCACATCCAATAAACCTTTTAATGGTTTTGGCGATTCTTTCAATAACAGTAACTGAACTTTGCCATCCATACAACATAATGAAAGCAAAGGGATGGCTGGCTCTTGGTTCTTAACAGTTCGCTCTTCGTACCACATGACTGATCC